TGTGAGCGGGTTAGTGCGAATAGGACCAAAATTTCAGTTTCCGTTGGAAATTTGCGCACGCAAGTTTCCGAGGGGTCGGGAACTTAGAGAAGAGCTGATTGGAGCTACCCTAGGCGGAGGAAGTGACAAGTGAGTGAGGTGATGGAGTGAGTTTGTGAAGAAATGCTTATGGGAAAAGGTGTCCCTCCTGGCAGAGTTTCCAGAGCAAACTTTTGACCCATATCGGGCAAAAAAACATGACAACATTTCAATGACCTACTGCACATTATAGTGATACAATACTTCATCTGTTGTGCATACATGTGTTAGCAACGGTTAAGGCACTACATGAGTACAGTTGCTACAACATTATCGCATGGTCCGTTTTTCTCAGAGGCAACTACTTTACACAATGCTCCCACGCCGTGAGATGACCTTCGCTGTCGAACTGCTGCTGCAAGAAACTCCAGGATCACCACGACTTAGCTCGCTCGGGACAGTGCTGCAGTGCATCCTTCCGTTGTGGACAAGGAACGGAGCGCATGAAGGAACCAAGGCGGAGTGCTGAGAAGCGAACCGTGCGGTTTTGAGGGCCCTATCGAGGCAGACGACGAGTTCACCCACGCGGAGAATAAAGAAGACAGAGAAGCAGTTCGAAGGCGGACCAGCGACAAAAAATCCCTATACACAGCCAGGAAAAAACGAACCAGCGGAAAGTTATTTCAAAATTATTTTCAAAACGTGAAGAATCCATACATCCCTGAGGAGTTCGCGGGTTACGTGGTTGGCTGATTGGCTTTCTAGGCCCAACACTCAGTCAGCGGCGATTCCAGTGCGCTCGAGTTGAGAGTTATCATGATGTCGCTTCTTCTAGAACGGTGCGTGTACTTTGTTGTATGAGCTTAGAAAAATTTGAAGTTTACTTACAGGGCGGGGCACGAGGTGGTCGTTTTTGAACACATATTGTCTGATGTCCGCCCTAAACAATGAATAAATTGTTTCCATCATAAAATTGCCCAACGTTCCGTATACCTACATTGCTCGCGCGAGGGCCCCTCGCAAAAGTGGTTCCCAAGACATGCGCAGATTCTTGCGCTTCCTGAGCGCTCTGCCGCATCATTGTTCCCAAGATCGAGCCAGAAACTAAAAAACTGAATTAAAGACGCAGTCACTAGCAACTAGTCTGTCTCACCGAGTGGGATTTTCAATCAATTCTTCCGGAGCGGCATCCAATTCCGGGGCGTGCAATTTTAAGCCATCAAGACAGCACCCTGATAAGTAAATTTAGACCTTTACGATAGTGTTTTCGATGGTTGATTCTTTGGAACAGACCTATTAGTGCTTCCGCAACACCACTCGGGAGGTCCTTCAAATCAGGCTTTTTTTGGTATCTACCTGACAACCGGTACGTGTACCCTTGAATGACGTGGGCAGGATCGCACGCCTAAAGTTAGCTGAGCACTAAGATTGTGGCGATGGAGGTATTCACTAGCCTAATAACTTATCTGAGTCAAGTACTGCCTAAAAAAGTCGGTACACTGAGTCGTGTGATCTTCTGGGCGCGCTCGCAGTGTACGTTTCCAGTGTTCTAGCAGGCAATTCAGATTTGTAACATGAAAAGAACACTATTATTCTTCTATTTTCACCTACAAATACCTTGACCATCAGATCTACCTTAAATGGGTACGACTCTTCAACTGTCCACTGCTTAGTCAAGTTCCGAGCATGCAGAAAAGTTCCGTCCGGCAGTTTTGGGTCGCTATGCCTTGACGCTGCATCCGCTAAGCGGCAACATTCACGGTGCAAATGTTTTGTGTACACATTAGCGAGTCGATCTGCAAATTTAAGCCAGAGGAACGATTTTCTAAGGTGCTAAAGATAACCAACTAGTACTGTCATCCCAACTATTGCGTCTGATTGCCTTGCAGTCACTGCCATCAGAGAGCGAACGACAGAATCCGAAGACTGTGGTAATTCTGCTACGGCCACTTGCAGCAGTTTAGCCTCTTCCACGCTGACAAGGCTCTCTCTCTCACTTTACAATTAGAAAATTCTGAAGTTAGTTTCTAAGTACTCCTAGGCGGTCCACGTAAGTACAAAGGAGTTTCTAAGTACTGAAGTTAGTTTCTAAGTACTCCTAGGCGGTCCAGACGTCATACTCGTCGCCAATGTCAAAGTGTGACATAACTTCGCCCAACTGCTCCACCGAGATTTCTCCGAAATGAGTCAACGCACGAGTAATGTCTGTAATGCAGAGGCTCTAAAACGTTTTTGCAGACAATGATGAAGAGCTTGAGAACCTTGAAACGATCGCGGACGACGTGGTATTCAACTTCCAGACGTGCCTTGATTATTGAAGGGAATCTTCTATTGCCCTAGCCAATACTTCGTTTTCTGCAATACGAACTGTGGATCAGCAAGCTCATGTGTAAGGGTTGCAATGAACCCTAGACCTTGCGGTGCCATCGGTTCTCCGGCTTGTGTATTGAAGAGCTCCTGGGATCCGCTTGAGTGCTGAGATAAACCCGAGAAGGAACCAGCGATGGAGGGGTCACTGTACATTCTCTGAGCGAACTGATCGAAATAATTGGTCAGAGACCTTGAGCTGCACTGATCATCGCGGAGGTTCTGGAGTTCAGCTGTATCTGGAGTATAAGAGTTTAACGTCAAGATGACATCTTTTTACAAATTTACAGCTCCTCCTACCACATCCTATTGAAACACATTCGGCAGATGTGAGCTCCGGCTCGGCTATATGCAGCGCATCACTGTTTGGGATGTATTCAGGGGATTGACTCATTTCACGCCTAAAGCTGTATCACTGAAACACTTTTTCATGGTAGCTAGAAAGCGGCAGATGTATATGCAAGGCAGGTACCTTCACACAGAAGCGGAGCAAACTCGAAACACTCTCCTTTAATTCTTCAACATGCCTTTAGGGTAAAGCAACAGCGGAGTACTCGTAAGCTTATACATACATCGAGGTTAAACCATAGTACCCGAGAGATTACATTCACTAGGTGAGAATATGAAGATCGCGATACGTACAAGAAGGAGTTGACACATCAGCAACAGTGCCTTCCTCAGGAGGAACTTTTTCCTAATTACTAGGATGTTTCAATCTATTTGGTGATTGTTTTGAAATAAACAATATTTTCCCCTTTAAGCCAAGGATGAAGTACTTAGTGAAGTTCAATTTTCTACCCCAAAACCGAACCTGGGGTAGGACTGCAATGCCGCCAATGTGTCAACGCTCAGATGGGGCTGTGTTAACCGAACGGATTAGCGATTCAGTAGCACAACAACACTAGATTCGTGACACATAAGAGACAGATCCCGAGTTAATTAGCATAGCTGGAGACATGATGTCATAAGCATTACATACAACGAGCTCCCGTGCCACCACTTTTCTAAAAAAACGGTTACAGCGACGAATATCGTAGAGGGCAGAGCGTGCTCTGTAGGTGGCACTGTGTTGGCTGCTGTCCAGGGCTTGAACGAGTGCTATGAACGGGTCCTCGGTCACAAACTTCCGCAGCAGTACGCGGCACTCGTTCGTCCAGGAATCGAATGCGAAGATGATTCTTCTTTCTTCTTCTTCTTATCTCCTTTGCATAAGCGGTGACTGAAACTGTTTTTATAGCCCCTTGTGATTTTCCATACCCTGCACCATCTTACCTGAATCTGGAGAGATTCCTATGTGAGTCCCAATAGACTTGATGCTCATTCAGCAGATCCTGCCGCCCCAAAATACACGAGTCCGGCACGTACCAATCGTTATCAAGGAGAGTGTTATGCGAGCAAGTCCTGATGATGATGGGATGCATATAACTTTACCTACCATCGCCACAACTAGTTGTGTTTATGTTACCTAAGATTATCGCCTGCTGTGATCTTAGCGTTCAGACGGTCCAAGTACTCATTGCTAATTTGCTCTGTCTCTTTCACCAACTGATTAACTGCCTCTTTGCGGAGAAGGAAACTAAAATTTGTAGATTTTTTCAGTGCACGTTGTTACAATTATAAAGACTCCAATGAAGGCATACTTTCCAATAAGAGCGTCCTCAACGTTAGTTGTACACTGCGCGATGCGAAACTGAAGATGTCTATGCATACTCTCGAACGAACTCGCTGACCAGTGATAAGGCGTCCCTATGTCATACAGGTCCTCCAGGATCGCGTGGTCGACGAGACACTGGAGATTCGATACATTTTGAAGGTCCATAACTGTCACTCTCCCATATATTACATCTATCAAACCTACATCCAAAGACCTTTCTACATTATGAGGAACACAACGACACTCCCTTCATTGTGCACAAAGTCGGCTCGATCGCGTACCACAAATTCTTCATAGCGCTAGCCAATTCCTGCACTCCTGGGAAATCATGCACCGTCAGCTCTGCGCTCTTTTCCAACACGCGCACCAGGGTCCAATATGCGAGCACGGCCACTGCACCAACCCTTGCATTTGCATTTGCCCTTGCGGCCGCTCTGAATATTTGTGCAGGGTTCTGCACAAATATTCAGAGCGGCCGCAAGGGGAAATGCAAAGAAGGAAAGCTAAAATATGTAGCTGTGCGAAGCCATGAAAACTTAACTATAGACTGCTATGTTTCTACTTACAGCGTCCTTCTCAGACCCAGTGATGCCTGATAAGTCGTCCATTCCCAAAACGAATTTGGCCGCGTATGTAAAGTTGCGAGTTGCGGTGATGAAGCTATAGAACTCCTGCAGACACTCAGAACGAACTTTCATGGCCGGAACGTGACTTTTCGGAGAGAACATGGCTAAACTGATTGCTTTAAAGCCCCATGGAAAACGAAAGAGGAGAGTTAAGCGGGAACCTCGGAAAACGTCGCACGTTATTCCTTCTGAGATCACATGTAGAGCGTCTGGTATACAGTTATTAAACATTAGGATCTCCATCATCTGCATCCAACCTGTGCAAGATGTCCCGTACGTGTAACTTTAAGCAATGGACGAAGACACGGATCGCTCACCTCTGATCCCATTAGCGTTCGACATGGCATCCCGAGTTATTGAGGCAAATGTGCGACGATCTCCTGCATAAGGGAACCTGGGGAACCAAATCACTCGATGACCCTTCTTTCACCCTCGAAAGTGCACAGATGGCAACCGTTCTGTGACTGCCAGCGGGGTAAGTCGTATAGTGTTTTTAAGGCCTAAAACTGTATGTCATACAAAAATTCCTCTCCTGTGGTCGTAACTGCTGAACTCACACTGAAGTCAAGTGACACCTTTGGACAGTACAGGGGTGCTGAACCAGGTGCGATCATCTACAACAATGGGAATTCCGCTGTCCAGCAGCGCCTCCAGTTCGCTACGAAGTCTGAAGGGTTACAGTTCAACCTAGCAAATGGATGCAACCGGAAGAGAAGTCATAACTCACTGACCGAGAAAACATTTCTCGCAGCAGAGTTTCTGTGGGGGTCTTTTTTGAAAACGTTTGCCAGCCAATACTATGTTTTCGACCTTGTTTTTCTCCTTGAACGGCAGACCTTCGATGCGAAGGTAGATAGGCCAGGTTTGCGACCTGAGTTCAGTGAAAATGAGATGAGCAAGCAGAAACGGCCAAAGCACTAATGTTAAGCACAGACCGTGAGTGTTCTCCCTTTGACGCCGTTGAAATTAATAGTCAAGATGATATTGATCTTGCATTCGTCAAAGTCCGTGTGCGTTTCGATGAATCGCTTGTACCATGGGAATGAATAGGTTTCGCTCCGCTTGCCACTGTCATCCTAGAATGGATTGAGGGGCCTATCGCGGTACATTGAAAAATCAACTTCGTACTTAAAGTGACACCAAAGCTTACCCCGGCATGAATTTGTCTGTCATTTTGAATTAGGCGACTGAGGATCCTTCCAAGTATTAGTGACAGTTGCGGCTCGATTTGCAGGAAGTGAATAGTAGTTCGCTTCGATGCTTTGCACCGCTTCGGAGTAACGCTACAATGAAGCCAGCTGAAGGGTTACGACGAGTACTACAACTAGGGAATGTGAGAACGGACCCTAGAAGGGGACATTCGGTGTTCCTACACGCTGCCCTCGGAGCGTGAGTCGCAAGGGTTGCAGTGAAAAGACTTGGAATGGCCGTAACGTCTATACGCCTCGTGCATCAACCGCTTGACTGAGTATCGAACCTTCAAATTATGTTATGTTTACCATTATTGTTAACGATTGTGTTTCCTTTTGTTATCTCTTGTTTCTTTTGCTATTGGTAGTCATCAGTTGTTAGGTGGTGAAGTCCGTTCCTCCTCGTGGTGCCACCGGGTACTGCTCGCTTTAGCGGGTTGCAAAACACGGACTATTACGAATGCAGGTGACAGGCCTTCGTGACGGGCCGACCTACGAACACCCCATGTCACATCACAATGTTCAATATGCCACATGATTCACGAGATAATGCTACGGCGTCCGCGGGAGCCGACGCGCACTCGTATGGCCCGGCGAGTGTGGAAAGTATGCGAGGGTCCCTGATGCAAGGACGGCATCGGGGGCAACCAGGCTAGTCCGAAAGTCTGGCAACGTTTGGAAGGCTCGCCTTGCAACGCTGAACGTTGGGACCTTAACAGGGCGCTCATTCGAGTTGGCAGAAGCACTGGAGCGCAGAAAAATCGATCTCTGCGCAGTGCAGGAGACACGATGGTCTGGTTGTCAGTCGAGAGATATTGGTCGTGGCTTCAAAGCCGTTCTTGTGGTGGACCGAGAACTAAAAATGGTGTAGCTGTAATCGTTTCTCACCGATTCCGTGACTCGATTACCAGTGTTGTTCGTTTTGGCGACCGTTTAATGAAGATTGTTGTCGCTGTTGAACAACGTCTATACCACTTCTTCTCTGCGTATGCCCCGCAAACTGGATGCTCCGAGCAATCCAAGGACGACTTCTGGGCTCTGTTGAATGAGAAGACGGCTGAAGTACCACCAGAAGACGGTATCATTGTAGCTGGCGACCTAAATGGACACGTGGGCGCTGCTAAAGACGGCTATGCTTGTCACGGTGGATTCGGCTACGGATCAAGGAACGCCGATGGTGAGCGAGTCCTCGAATATGCAGATATGCATAATCTCGTCATCCTGAATACAAAGTTTCGTAAACGCGACTCCCATCTCATCACCTTCTACAGCGGGAGTTCCAAAACACAAATAGACTTTGTTCTCATCAGGCATGGCGATCAAGGACTCGTCACAGACGCTAAGGTCGTGCCGTACGAGACAGTTGCCCCACAACACCGCCCGCTGATCTGCACGCTGAAATTTACAGCACCCAGATCGAAAAACACTGAGCGGTGTGCCCTCGAGAGGATTAAGTGGTGGCGACTGAAAGAGCGGGAGGAAGCCGTGATTTCTCGCATCCGATTACCTGAGATCACGACTGTCGAAGAAACCTGGAACAAAGCCGTTGAATCGGTAATTCAGGCCGCTCGTTCAGAACTCGGCATGACCAAGCCTGGGCGGCGTAGGATTGACAAGCAGCCTTGGCTTTGGACGGACGACGTCCAGGCGAAGGTTCGAGCGAAAAAGGAACTTTATCACGTGTTTCTTGGGAACAAGACGGCTGACAACTGGCGGAAGTACCAGGAAGCGAGGACTGCGGCAAAGAAGGCGGTCGCCGTAGTGAAGGCCGCTCATTTCGACGATATCAGCAAGAAACTCGAGACGCGCGACGGTGAGCGGAGTCACGACTATTTCGAGAGAATCTCGACAAAGGAATTTCACCCATCCGCTTATCCCCTCTGCGGCGCCAACATACGGTCCCCTCCGGAAGATTTCCGTTGAGGAAACAGAAGCGGCTCTGAAGAAGATGAAGGCAGGTAAAGCTACAGGCCCGGACGACTTAGCAGCGGACTTATGGAAGTCTAAGCACTGGTACTCCGCAGAATGGGT